TTAAATAACTTCATTTGATCTCATGATGAAGAAATATTGACTTTGTACTGGAGGAAAATGAGCATGCATGTGACACTGATATGCGGTACATGTTGACTTTGGAACAATGATGTTGTACTGAAGACCAGAGTACCTTTAAGTGACGTGAATAAGCCTTTGAATTTTCATCTTCGATCGTATCAGGTATTCTATGTTGTTGTTACTAAGCTAAACAGCAGCTGATTTGTGATAATGTTACTTTGTAAAGTGAATGATGGACACAAGGCTACTCTTCAAGAGTAATAAAATGCCGAAAAATATGGCAGCCTCACTGAGTACTTTCAGAGAAATTCTTCTTAGCAAACATAACCAAAGGCAGTTTTATCCCTTTTCTTTTTGTCACCTCCTGTTTACCTATCTATAAATTGGTCCTTTATGCCAGTGATGGTGGCTTGAAGTTCTTATTATTCTGTATCACGTCTATGTTTACTTTCCAATAATATTATAGTTTGTAATTTACCATTATGTTTCTTCAGGAAGATATCACTAACTACTAAAGAAACATAATGGTAAATTACAAACTATAATATTATTGGAAAGTACAGACAGACAAAGATAATTCTGGTCTCTTTAACTATTAAAGAATTTAAAGATATTATAGATGACATCTTGAAAGGTATCCTCAAGTGGAACACTATTTGAAGAGCAAGCACCTGAGTGAAAGATCCCCAGCACAGGGGAATGATAGAGATGAAGTAGACATTGAAGGGTTTAAGTTAGCCCTTTCTCATGTTGATTCACAAACGAAGAATCTGCCTGCAACTGCCTAGGTATTTGTCTTTGATACACAAGTTGGACTAGGTTTTCACTTGGGTTTATGGTTCCACCGTCAATATGTAGCGTAGAGACTACACCTTCTCATCATCTTATATTCAGGTTGCAGCACAACAAGGTGCGTATCTTTCTAAATGCTTCAACCGCAGGCATCAATGTGAAGAAAATCCTGAAGGCCCGCCTCATTTCGAAGGTTCTGCTCGTCATCATTCCATCCATTTTGGTATGTGCTCTTAGTACGTTGTATTCTGTGTATTATACCATTATATGAGTGCATCCATAAATATTAATTTTTCTTGGACAAATGAAAAATTTGTTGATGAAGTAGAAAGGAACCATCAGCTGTTATTGAGCTTGTCCTTTGCACACATTAACATTAGTTGGTTACGGGGGCATAATGTCCTTAATCAGTATGTTAGTCCTGTGGCTAAACTTTTGGTCATATATGATGCATTCTGGTTATTCTTTTTTTATCCATATTGTCTCTTCTTCTCATAATGTTTCTCAAGATCGTCTGGTCGGAGTGTTATGCATTTTATATACATGTGGCAGCATAATAAGCTGTTCTCCATTCAAAATTTAGAGACAGTGTAATAGCTAGTTAACTTGCTGCTTTTATATTTAGTTTGAAGGTAGTGGATGTTGAGTTAAATCTTTAAAACCAGCGAAAAATTATTGGTAAAAGCCACTGAGTTTTTAGGTTCTCTGCCTCAATGCAATGTGTTTGGAAATTTTTTCTTGAAATTGATCTTCATTCAGGCAGCATGGCTGGTTCGTTCCCTTTGTCAGTTTTTAATTTTAAAGGCCAGAGTATACGAGCTGAGACCTCACTGGATGAATTAATTATGCCTAATAGCATAATGTAGCATATAGAGAATCAATTAACAGTACCAAGTTCTTTTCTTTTGCCTTATAGTTCGATTTTTCTTTGCAATTGCTAGATTCAAACATGTTGGGGCAATTTGCTCCTCTAGGAGGGGAGCAAGCAGCTGCTGAGCTGCCAGGAGACTGGGTTTCTACGGGTCATAGAACACAGTGGCTATGGTATTCTATATGTAAGGTGATTCCTGCTCCTCCTATTGTCTTACATTTGCTTGCCTGCTCTGCAAATTAGGGTATGCGATGTGCATATCGAGGGATACGATCTTTTGACATGATTTTCTCACACATTCAGCAAACAAGTGAGCTGGAGTACTAGGGTGTTGGTGGTATCTGATTGGACTCTAAGATACATATTCGGAAGAGATTCAAGCCGCATTTGAGGCAGGAACACGGGAACCTTGTAAATAAGTTGGGAGACTCACTTCTTCCATCATATGCATGGTTTACACCACCAACTCAGTCTAGCTGAAACACTCCAATAAGGCCACTTAATAGCTCCCAAAACCCTCCACAACTACCACATTTTTTGATTCCCACATCCCTAAAGCAACCATTATCAGTCCCTCTACAATCGAACGTACCACCTACTTGAAAACAACAAAAAAAAAAAAGGAAAAGGCAAAAGAAAACAATAAAAAAAATCATCCTCATGGGGAAGCTACACAAAGCATACAATAAAAACATATAAAAAAAAACAAAAAGGGATTTTGGTTTGAAGTTTCCTAGAGGATTTCACGGTATCTGATTTGGTGATAAGGGAGGCAGCGTTTAGAGAAAGATCATACTAGGAGTTGTAGGCGTATTGACGGGATGGATTCTTTTAGGGACGAAAACAGTGGATTTTGGGTTAAAATCCAGGAAAATTTTTTGGGATTTTGGAACAACTAGCTGGAGAAGTGAAAAGAGGAAGAAAAGAGGAAGATTTCGATGTCCTTTGATGAGAGATCGACGTCGGCGAGTAGATCAATGAAAGATGTGGTGGCGCCTGAGAAAATAGCCAAAATCTGAGTTTATTGTAATTTCTGATTGCTTTGTAAAAGAGTGAGATGGACAGATTTGGGTATTTCTAATTAAATGCACGACACTTTTTGCTCTTTACACCTTTTTTTTTTTTTTTAATTTATAACTAAAATTATTAAATATCCTTTTGATAAGTTTTTAAATATTCATTTTCGTAAAGAAAACTTATAAAATTTTAAAAGAAAATTACAGAAAAGAGAATTAATTAAAGATTTTTATTAACTGATGTAATAAAAAATTATTATTAAAAAATAATAAAATTTAAAATTAATAAAAAAGAAGTTGATTTTATTATTTTGATCTTAGAAAAAAAATAAAATCTTAGGAGACTTAGTTAAACATTTCATCTCTTGATGTTATAAAAGATGATAAAAAAATTATCAGATTTGATCATCATTTAAGCATAGTTATCAGAACCAAACTAAATCATTAGTCCAATTAATTGAACAAGTAATCAGTGTTCAAATAGGTTTAATTTTGTAATTAGATCAGTTTTATAATTAAATCGCTTTAAACCGTTATGATTTGGTGGTTTATATAGTAAACTAGTAAATCAAATGCTTTTTTTTCAATCGGATTGATTTAATACTAACTAATAAGTTTAGGTAAAATATACAAAAAATCTTTCAAGAATTCAAAATAATTTAATTAAGCTATTAAACTACTATTTCATCTAAATAAGTAACTCAACTCTTATTTTTGTTATCAAAGCCATTATATTCTTATACTAATGATATATTAACATATTTTGAGATATGTGGTAATCACGTTATAAAAAAACTTACACATGTGAAAGATAAGTAATTTTCATAAAAAGATAATCTAACAAAAAATTTTATTAATTGATGTCATAATTAAAAATAATTATAAAATTAATAAAAAATATTAATAAAAGTGATTAATTATTTGATCGTGATCGAAAATAATTAATAAAATAAAATGTATATATGTAAAATTAATAAAAAATCTACATTCATATAAAAATAAAAAAATGATTTTAATTTCCTTTTTACTAATTTTCATATAAATAAAATATTTTCTTTTTATTAATTTTATATATAGATATTTTTTATTACATAAAGATTAATTATTATATATTAATAAATAATATTTATATTTTAATAAATATAAATATTAATTATTTATTAGTTATTATATATTATATTTATTAAAATATAAATATTATTTCTAACTATTAAAATATAAAATATAATTTTAATAAAATGTTGAGTAATTTCATTTCTAACTAGTAATTAATTGTTTTATAAATTTTATATTTTAAAGTTTATAGTTTATGATATATCTTAAAATTTATAGTTTTATAGTTAAATTATTAAATTATAACTTGAGTTAAAAGTTTAATTTTAAAATTTTAAAATATTTATATATTTTAAAATATTTTTTATTGCACTAATAATTAATTCGATTGACCCAATGGTTGAACATTAACCTAGTGACCCGAAATCTTGAATGGTTTAATATCCGATTTGGTTATGATAATTATACATCTAAGAGCTGAAACATCTTGAAGCTATACAAATAATAATACTAAATACTATATAATTTTGTCAAAACTTAATATGCTAATTGAATACACCCATCGTAATAAGTAGAAAAGAGACTTTACTAAAGAGTTCAATTAAGTTATGACTATTATAAAATTTTTATAATCAATACTAAAAAAATATATTTATTAAAAAAATTTTAAATTTATAAAAAAATTATATTTACTATTTTAAAAAAATTATATTTACTATTTTATCTTTAGTTTATTTAAGGTTTCATAAGATTTTATTTTGTTTTAAGGTCAAAATAATAAAATTAATTTTTTTATTAATTTTAAAATTTATGATTTTTTTAATAATAACCTTTTTTATTATACCAATTAGTAAAAATGTCTAATAATTTTTTTTTTAATTTTTCTTAAAATTTTATTTTCCAACCTTTTAGAATGATATGAGAAATTCTAAAACTTAATACATATAGATATCTGAAAACTTGTGAGAAAATTAATTAAATAATTTTATTTATAAAAATTTTTTAAAAAATAAAGTGTAAAAAACAAAAAGTGGGATACGTTTAGAAACTCCCGAAAGATTTTAATGTTTAGTAAGAGAGGGAATTTTTTAGAAAAAAAAAGATGAAAAATGAAAAAAAAAAATATTTTTATAAAAATGCAAAATACACCAAGATGAGAAAAATATTTAATCCCAGCGGGACTAGTCGTAGTCTAAATCAGCTGGCTTTCAATTATTTATTTATGTGTCTTAAAAAAAATGTTTTTTTGTATTTATGCAAAATGAAAAACATGCAGAAATCATCACCGTCCAAACTCCATCGGACGGCTTCCCAACAAATTCGTTAGTAAGTAGTTAAGTCATTACAGCATGCAGGAAGATATCTTCGTCTCGGAACGAAAGGCACGTGGTTTTATTCTCTTTGATTTTGACAAGTCAAGAGGAAAGAAGTTTTTCCTATAATTCTACACGTGGCCGTTATTCCTAAACACTCGCTACTAACTAAAAAATTTCTCTACGTAACACTCAAGAAATTGATACTTTCCATTTTCATGAACCGATTCTCCAGCTTTCTCTGCATTTAAATCTTCTGTGTCTTTCTTTTACTTGGTGATAAAAGAAAAAAAAAGTAGGGTTTTGTTTTCTTGGCAGTAACAAGAATGGTCAGCTACACATTCTACGCAAAGGCCTTGAGGCTGTTTCAGGCCTACCCTTCATTGTCTAAGATTCTCATCGTCTCCACCGTCGGGTACATATATATTCTTTTTTTTTTCTTTCTTTGTTGTTTCGATGAGTTGTTAATTGCATGTTTATGCTTTGCGGAGTATTTGTTTTAAGAATATTGAGATTCAGAGGAAGTTATAAACAGGAAACCGGGGATCTCTTTAAAGTTGATGGATAAAAAGTAAATTTGACAATATTAAACTATTCATTGTATGGAAAAACCTGAAAAAAATTTGAATTTGATAAAAATAAAAGAAAAAATTGTATTTAGACATGTTAATTTTTGTTTACACCTGCTTTGAAACTGTCAGTATTACAGTAAATTGGTAATCAATTCTCGTTTGTACAACTTTTTGTGCTCTACACTACATTCAAATCTAACAACTAGTAATAAGTTTTCTTTTCCTTTCTAGTTTTACTTCACATTAAATTGTATTACCTTATTGATTTGTCAGTTTTTTCTTTTAATTATTTTGTACTTGTACTGGATTGCGCAGTGGTGGTAGTCTGCTGGCCTTTTCTGATGACTGCAGACCATTCCTAAGAGTGTTTACTGATGGTGGTCAACAGCCTGAATCTAAGAAAAAGAAGGTGGTGGTGCTTGGAACCGGATGGGCTGCCACCAGTTTCTTAAAATATCTGAAAAGTGAGTCCTACGAAGTTCAAGTGGTGTCTCCCCGCAATTATTTTGCTTTTACTCCATTGTTACCAAGTGTGACTAATGGAACGGTGGAAGCACGCAGCATTGTTGAGCCTATTCGCAACATTTTGAGCAAGGTATAAACAAATTAAGTACTAATACTTTTAGTGTGAATGCCTGATGTTAATTGCTTTTCTTTTTATTTCTCATGGCAGAGACCTTATCAAATTGACTTCAAGGAAGCTGAATGTTTCAAGATCGACGCAAGCAACAAGACACTTCATTGTAGGTCTGCTCAAGTCACCAATTTAGGAGGCAAAGAAGAATTTACAGTGGATTATGACATCTTGATTATAGCTGTGGGAGCTCAAGTAAATACATTTAACACCCCTGGTGTTTCAGAATATGCACACTTTCTCAAGGTACAATATAATTTGCAAATTTCTCTGCTTAATAAGATTAAAGTGCTTTTTTCACCAAAGAAAATATTTGCCAGAAATTTGTTTTACAGCTTAAGTGGAATCTGTTCCAAAACTCTTTCATAAAGATAAAACTCGTTTGTGATGTAGGAAGTGGAAGATGCTCAGAAGCTCCGAAACACATTGGTTGATTGTTTTGAAAGGGCAAATCTTCCCAGTGTAAGTGATGAAGAGAGGAAGAGGATCTTGCATTTTGTTGTCGTTGGCGGTGGTCCAGTTGGTGTTGAGTTTGCTGCAGAGCTTCATGACGTTGTAGTTCAGGATATAGCTAAACTATATCCTTCTGTCAATAACCTTGCAAAAATTACACTTCTTGAAGCAGGCGATCATATCTTAAACATGTAAGATAGATAAATAGAGAGAATTTTCAAAAAAAAAAAAAATCCCGTTTATCTAATAATTTTAATCCTGATGAGTGATAGCATCATCTCCTCTTTCACAGGTATGACAAAAGGATTACCAAATTTGCTGAAACAAAGTTCCAACGAGATGGTATTGACTTGAAGACAGGGTCAATGGTAACAAAACTGTCTGCAAAGGATGTTTCCACTAAAGATAGAGCAACTGGCGAATGTGGTTCCATCCCATATGGATTGGTTGTCTGGTCCACCGGTATTGCACCTCGTCCAGTCATATTGGACTTCATGAAACAAATCGGGCAGGTTTAAACGAAACAATTCTTTCCTTAAGTTAATTATAAATTTGAACTCTTCCATTGAGGCTATTTCTTCTCCTTCTTTTGAAGATGATTTTAATGTTTATTTAATTTTGTGATCACAGGGTAGCAGGCGTGTTTTAGCAACAGATGAATGGCTGAGAGTTGAAGGATGTGATAGTGTATATGCTCTGGGTGATTGTGCTACCATCAATCAACGCAAAGCCATGGTAAATTTTGCTTAACGGTTTGTTTTTCTGGTTTGATATCTTGTAAGTATTTCAATTTCAGTTGTTACCTTGTAGACCTGGCCTCCCTTCAGGCCTTTAACCTCAATCTGCCAGAAAGTTTTATTATTTTGCTTCTTGTTGTTGTTGTTGTCGATTTATCAGGAAGATATATTAGCCATTTTCGGCCAGGTAAAAAAGGATGATACTAATTTTTTAAACAAACAAGAGTTCAGAAAAGTTATAGGAGACATCACAGAAAGGTACCCTCAAGTGCAGCTTTATTTGAAGAAGAGCAAAGTAAAAAACATGGTTGCTTTACTAGACAAATATGAAGGAGAAATTGATATTGAAAAATTTAAGGAAGCTCTCTCACAAGTGGATTCTCAGATGAAAAATCTACCCGCAACAGCTCAGGTAAGTTGGAAGTGCATTTTTTTCCTTTTCGGAGAATTTGGCTCTTCTACATGTTCAACCATGAGATGTTAAATGCTGAAGGTTTTTTTTTTTTTTTTTTAATACAATCTAGGTCGCTGCTCAACAAGGTGAGTACCTCGCAAAATGTTTCAATCGAATGGAGAAATGTGAACAGAATCCTGAAGGTCCTCGCAGGTTTCGAACAACAGGCCACCACCGTTTTCATCCCTTCAGGTTCAACCTGAAATTAATCATGTGATAGGCATCAACATATAAAATTCTTTTCAGCCAAAGCTTCAACTTCCTGCTAGTTCTGCCAAAATTTAAGGGGTGAAAAATTAGAAATAGGCTGAAACGGAAATTTGATTGCTCTGTTGACCAATTTCAGGTATAAACATTTTGGGCAATTTGCTCCACTAGGAGGAGAACAGACTGCAGCTCAACTTCCTGGAGACTGGGTTTCAATTGGTCATAGCACCCAGTGGCTTTGGTACTCAATCTATGCAAGGTAACTTTCATTTCAGCTTTAGTTGTTATTAGCTGGCTCCTTGACAGTCTCTGATGGTTCTTTCACCTGCAGCAAGCTAGTCAGCTGGCGCACTAGGATGCTGGTGGTATCTGACTGGTTTAGACGGTTCACATTTGGAAGGGACACCAGTCGGATCTGAGAAATGTTTCCATTAAGTTTTTCCTATAGAGCTAGATCTTGCTTCGTCTAAAAGGGTTTTAGAAATCGGTTGGTAGTTTCCTAACATTCTGCGAAAATCAAATTTCAATAATTTTTGTTTTATTTCGGATCTGGATAGCCTTTTACTGTGACAACACATTCTTCTGTCTCGCTTTCTATTACAGTTAATAAGCATGTTAGAAATGGTCCATATTGCGGTTTGGCCAGTATTCCTCCAATAGCCGCATATGTTACTATACTCGTGCTGCATATCCTTGCAGATGAGAAGAGATAGATGACCATAGGCACTCTTACCATCATCTCGAAAATTGTCAATGCTGCATGATTCATTTTTGTCTCTTTAGATGACTCCCCCTTGTTTCGTAAATGTGATATATGCTTCAAAAATAAAAGCATCGATTCTCAAAGCTCACTGGCCCACATTAGGGTATCACATTATTTTGGGTCGTTATGAAGTGTTTTCACACCACATAAAAAATGCATAGATGAAGCCAGGTGAAATCTATTTGAGTCAGAAATTAATACAAATGGTCTAACTTGCATCATGCAGCGTGAGAATATGTTGTTTGAACAACCATAGCAAAGGCAATGGGTATTGTCACCAGCACACTACTCAGAAATTTCGAACCTATGATCATTGATGATTGCTGTTGATCCTTTTCCAATGTTGCCATGAATTTGAAGCATGTTGACCATTTGAAAACTGAAAACTGAAAACTGATTCGTATTGCAAGGTATATAAATGCCATGCTTAAATGCACAATCAGTTAAGCCAATCTGCACTATGTATTATTGTCCATGGGTGAGGCTCAGCCTTTGTCTCTGCTTGCCTGTTCTTCTTATGTGAAGAATACCAAAAGGCAAAACACACATCATTAGCATAATTGAAGACGACATCTCACTTGTTGAAGTAGTTATCCACTGAAAGTATAATCTTGCGTGAAAGATGCGCGTTATCAATCATCTACCGTGAATCACATGTTACATTACAAATTTACAAGGAAGGCACCACCAACAAACATATAGGAACATATTTTAAAACATATTGGTGCATTTTGGTAACTATAAAGGGGTTGTTTGTGAGAAAGTGTTGCAAACAAATAAAACATTATGTGTCGAGAGACGGTGAGAGAAAGATTGGAGCAGATTCTAAAGTATTGAATGCAACAGTAGGTAGTGGCAAGTGGCGAGGCAAGATTGAGTAAGGAAGACAATAAGGCTAAGAAAATGATTTAAAAAGAGAGAATTTAGTAAATTTGCCAAAAGTCTCCAAAAGTCCCTTAATCGAATTAGGTTTCAATTAACAACTATAAAAGGTGTTAATGTATTAAATATGAATAATGGTAAATAATGGAGGAATTGGTCGTAACAAAAGGTGTTAATGTATTGGCTAACAAAAGTATATTAGTTTTTTGGTGATAGATATAGTGAACATAGAAATTCATTATTCTGAAAGAAAAAGAGAAGCATTCATACTTCAAAGAATGATTAAGAGGTCTTAACTATCTCCATGTCTAATCATCAAGCCAGACTCTCTTAAACATCCCAACAATAGAATTAACCCAAGAATTCTGTCATATTTCGAAGTTATTTTCACTTCTTTGTTTGATGAAGTAACATTTGAAGTGTCTTTAGTAGAATAACTCATAGTGAAGTAACTTTTGGTAAAAAAATTTTCAGTAAAAGCATTAGTGTTATTCCATGAAAAAGTTGTTCCTTTAATAATTATTCTGTGAAAAGTTATTCTTTGAAAGAGTTGTTCCACAAATAGTTGTTTCGTAAAAAAAATCTTCATTGAAATAACCTCATAATCTATTTTGACTTATTCTTAGCTTGAACAACTTTAAAGAAATTTAAAATAATAAAATATTAGTAAACAAAATCAAATATCTACATTTTACCCCTTGCATGAGAATTGCATGAGAACTTATACTAAAAATTCTCATGCACTAGTACAATTTCCTTGAATAGTAAAACTAAAGTATAAGATATATTTATTCTCATAATTTAAAGATGTACGATGTAAGTTTCATGAAAAGCAAAAATTTATATATATTTTTGTGACTGCATATGTGGGGATTTATTGGCCCCTGCATGGAAATTGTTTGATATAAATCAAAAGATGTTCCATGCATAAAACAAGCAAATTTTAGTGTTATAAATCAAAGAATTATTTGTTAGACAAGTGTGTTTCTAAAAAAAAAAAAGAATTAAAAATCATTAATGAGAGTATTTCCCTAAAAAAAGGTAGAATTATCAAAAGAAACAAGTAATAATATATATATATATATATATATATATATATAAAGGAACGCCACTAATGAAAGTATTTCCTTAGAAAATATAAAATTATAAAAAAGAACAACTAATGAAAATATTTCCCCAAAATAGAATAATTATCGAAAGGAACAACTTTTGGAATGTTTCCCTAAAAAAAATGAGAATAAATGATGGGAATGTTTTTCTAAAAAATAGAAGAATATTTAAAAGGAATAGATAATGGAAGTGTTTTTCAAAAAAAAAGAAAATTATTAAAAAATAATAAAAGTGTTTTGCCAAAAAATAAAAAAATATTATAACAAATAATGAGGTTGTTCTATTTTATTCTTACACCAGTCCCATAATTGGAATATTATAATAAAAATCATGCATAAAACAAATACGTTTTAATAATTTTCGAGAATGGCATGTAAAGCAAATCAATCTAAGTAATTAATGTATATTCTAAGTCAAAATATGTTTCAACATACAAAAATATATATTATACATGTTTTGATTCAAGTGTTGTTCAAGCAAATTTTGTGTGCAAAGTTTGTTCTACGTCTAAGACCAATAAAGGAATGAATGAATAAAAAAGAAGACTTTTGATGTCTTACTCACATTGTTTTGTGCTGAAAATATATATGAATAAAACCAAACTTTTACTTTGTTGCTCTAATTATTGTTCTTAATAAAATAATAACAATAATTCAATAGTAAATATTATTTTTAAAAAAATTAAAATCATTAGAATGGATGGCACGAACACTAGGTAATTGTGCTGAAAGAATATTTTTTTAAAAATATATTTTTTTTAATGCTAGGAAACATTTCTTGAAATGATATAGAAGGAGTTCTCGTAAAAAAAAATACGGGTACATCATAATTTTTTAAAAATATATTTAAAGAGGGCATAAGAAGTGATTTTTGAAATATCATGCTGAATTTTTTTTTTTAAAGAATGTTAGGTAACAAACGTCTTTTAAGTAGATTTTCTTTGAATTATACATAAATAAATAAGATGTATTTCTTAACAATCATCGATTCACCCTTTGAAATGTAGAAAACATTCCTTGTAAGAGGGCAAGAGATGTACTTCTCAAAAATTATGAGTGAAAATATCTCTAGCAACAATATATAACAAATTCATTTTTTGGATTCATTATTTAGATGTAAAAATGCATTTCAATATGAAAGTATGAATGAGAGATACTTTTGAAAAAAGGATATGTAATGAGAAGTGTTTCACGAGAAGCATTTCTTAAAAATACACATGAATATTTTAAAAATTCTTTTAAATAATAAGAAACAACTTTTAGAAAATACATGTAGAATACTTATTAAGATATTATTAGAGTACACAGAAAGAAAAAGTGAAAAATGGTTTTTAGAGTGACATTTGAAAAACACTTTATAAGGATGATTTATGAAAATTTCTTATGATAAAAATTTTTAGTATAATACATAGGATGCTTTCCTTAAGGAATACTTCATAGTGTGAAGTAAAATGATTAGCAAAGCGTTTTTTTAAAAATGATTTTTTTTGTGGTGTTGTGTGAAAATATGAAAAAAGCAATTCTTGAAAATTACAAGACCTCTTAAGATATTGAATAAAAAAAAATTAGAATCATTTATCAAAGTAATACAAGAAATAAGTTTTCTTAAAAAAAAAAAGTGAAACACAAATATCAAATATGAATGAAACATCTATTAGAGTAGTAATGCAATGTTTCTTAAGATGTTGCACAAGAAGATTTACACAATAAAAAGTATGAATGATATTTCACTTATCAATTCCTTTTGAAAAACTTGTATATAAAAGTAAAGTAGTGACAATAAGAAAGTAATATAAAATATTTCACTCTTCAACTTTTTTTTTAAAGTTTTTGTATATAAGTCTGAAAACTTAATCGCTAAATATAAACTTAAGAGTCGCTACTAATTTTTTTGTTTAGGTGTGATTTATTATCTAACTGAATCTATTCCATTTTGAAAAAAAAAGTACCGAACTTGACTTAGATATTTTTGAAAGGTAGATTCTAGTCTATGAAACCAAGCTAGGTCTGGGAATATGATTACATATGAGGAAGATTATAACGCCCATCAAATGATAGTATGAGCTATTTTGTGTTATCCATTTAGTCATAAAAAATTATATGTATTAGAAATTATTCTTAACTGACTCTAATATTTTAATAAAAATTTAAAAAAATTCTCTTACCTTATAAGTATATAAGAAAATAATTGTTTCTTTTAAAGTGGTTCCGTCATAGGATCATTTAATACTTATTTTACTTTTTATGAAATTTTAGAAAAACTTATTAATTTTAGAAAAAAATTGATATTTCAACTTTTTTCCAAAATTGTTTAAAAAGAAATTTTAATATTTCAACTTTTCTTCAAATCTTAATAGTATTTTTATTTTAAGAAAAATTGGTTATTTTATCTTTTTCCTTAAATTTTGAAATAATTTTCTTTTAAGGAAAATTGATATTTCAACTTTTTCCTCCAAACTTTTTGAAATTATTTTTTTAAGAAGAAATTAATATTTTAACTTTTTCCTCATTTCTTGAAATTATTCTTTTGTGCAAGAAAATTTTGATATTTCAACTTTTTCTATAATTTTTGAAATTATTTTTGTTTAATGAAGAGTTAATATTGCAAAATTTTCCTTAATTTTTGAAATTATTTTTGTTTAAGAAAAAATTGATATTTCAACTTTTCCAAAGATTTTTGAAACTTTTCCCTAAGATCTTTGAAATTTTTTTTATTATGTTTAAAAAAACCCAAAGAAATAAATAAATAAAAAAATAACATAAAAAAATTACCCAAACAATCTTAGCTTTACTAAAAAAAAGGCTTAACTACATGAACAAATTAGGTTAGTAGCTTGGTTTCGGCTTAAAAATGGCTTACAATTAG